TCACACTTTTGTAAGCACTTTCTACCTGAGCATATGGCTTCCGAGCATGGGATTGCTGCTGGGTATGACTACTTCTTGGCCATATTTTCTTGCTTTTCTTAGGATTAGTGTAATTAGTTTCAATTCGTAGTTAGTTTAATCCTGATATTGTAATTGGATCTTTATGCGAAATGAACTATGATTTGTATTGCCAATATATATTTATTGTTCATTTTATTCATTTGAGTATTTACGTGCATGAACATTATTGCTTAATATTTATTAATGAAAGTCTGGAAATGAATGTTTATTAGTCACCTTCTCTTGTCTTTGTCACTATTCTTAAACCGTAAATACCTAAATTGAAACAATTGCGTGCTAGTTTGAGTAAAAAGAACTCGTAAACGAATTCCACCACAAACAATACAGTAATCTAGTAATGTAACTATACATTCTAAGTTATTGGTTAAACAACTACGTTGTCTATATAGATCTACCACCACCGGATAGTTGACAAAGTATCCTCTAGCTCCTATGCCACTGGGTGGCCTCCACAATATAATTCTCCCGCCTATCCCTATCCTACTCTCATACCACGTAGGATCATCACAATCTACATCACATGAAAACATCTAAGTGTAAGTTAGAGTAAAAAATAAGCAACATATATATATATATACACACACAACACATGAAAATTACAACATCATCTCATCTTTAACGACACAGTGGTAGAACATCACAGTATACAACACAAATCAACACAATAACATAAATCCAACATAGCAACACATTTCATCACAATTCAACACAATATATGAATTGCACAATAACTCAACACGTCATATGCTCAACATAGCAATTATATGTGTTGTCACATATTTCAATTAGGAGATTTCTTACAACACAGGGTAGACAGTTTAAGTGGCTTGACCCTACCGAATTGACAATACAGGGATGATCTTTTTGGGCTTAATTAGATCAATAACAAATTGGATAAAAATCCATAATACAGCAAATTGATTTCTTAGATGTCGCCACTTAAACTAGAAAGTATAATATTGCTGTTAGGATAAAAAAATTGGGTTTAGGCCTACCATAGTATCAGCTAGCTTAACCAAGCCTCCTATGGGATTAACTCACCAGCTATCCTCCAAATACTACAACCTTACAATACTCGATTAAGAATTAAGTTTTCAACTTCATACTTTACTCGGTTGGTCACTTGTAATCAGTATATAGCTCGACTTGACCCTAATACTATGGTCGTTTCATACATGTGTGCCTCGACCTTGCCCACACACGATACCAACAAAGTCCTATCTGAGAAACAATACAATATTCACTTCAAGGGTCAACTTTCCAAGAAGGGTTTTCAATAAATTTGGACTCTTAGAAAACCACAATACAATATCCACATAATGAGATATATAACTTTCGAAAACATCACCTCTAGTTCCAAGTGATCAACACAACTCAATAACAAGGCAACTCATTATGGATTCAGCACATCTACAAAATTAATGCACAACTTTACATCTTACAGCTCAATCATCATATGCTATGTCACGGAACAACTTAAATCAACAAGGAATCAACACTTCATCAACCATATCATCAAGTTTTTCTTCAGTAGCTATAACACCAAACACTACTCACCTTGCACCCAATGTCATACAAGCAAGAAGCTCCCTACCTTACTCATACCTAGCGCTACACAACTCACACCCGACGTGACTCAGGCAAAGACCCCTAAGACCTCGCGCCTGGCATGGTAAAACACCACGTCCGACCCCATCTCAAGCAGAGACTCTCTGCTTGAGTTTTGCTCGGTGTCACCACCTTGACGCCCAACGAAATCTAGATAAATAACTTTGGCTTGGCCACACTAGGCGCCAATCAACTTTGGGTCCAACATCACAAAGTCAGAGAGTTCTTAAGACTTCCATGCCACCCGACACCATTCAACCACGTTCGATGTCATTTCAACTCAAGATGAGTCTCTCTCCTCACTTCCGGGGCCACCAATCTTGTGTTTGACATAATTGAGATAGAGAACCTCAAGTTAGACCAGTGTCTGACGCCTTAAAGGCGTGTCCAATGCAACATTAGAATTCTGCATATGCAAAACCTAATTTTTAGCAAAAGCCTATAATGCAAAAAGAAAAATATATTTTATGAATAATAACAATTAAAATTGGACTTCTATATTTTAGATATTTGAGAAGAAAAAAAACAATATTTATATAAAATATTAACATAGATGTATTCATATTTATATATTAAAATTAAACAATGTTAGTTCACTTATTTATATATCATCCAAAATTAAATAGAAGATGGTGATATATATATATTTCAATTGAAGAATAAATTTATTAATTTATTAATACTATTATTTTTTAACGTAATTATCTAACTATTAAGTAATATTGTTCATATATATATATATATATATATATATATATATATATATATATGAACAATATTACTTAATAGTTAGATAATTACGTTAAAAAATAATAGTATTAATAAATTAATAAATTTATTCTTCAATTGAAATTAAAAAGAAACATAACTTATTTGCATTAAAAAATAATGTTATTCTTGACATATAAATAAATATGGCTAAATAATTGATAGATAATGTTATTTATGAACAAGTGAATGTTTTCTTTTTAGTTTTGTATGATATGTCAATGAATAAATCAACAATGCTTACATTTAAAAAAATTTAGAGATTGAAATTGTACATTTATAAAATTATAGGATGAAAAATATATTTAAATCAATAATTAAATAGATTAAGTTCGTTTTACTTTACTTATATATTTTATTAAAACAAATAAAATATAAAATTTGTCATTATCATGAATGGTTTTAATATTTTTATTTTCTCAAAGCAGGTACATGACATGTATAACACTATAAGTAGTGATAATGTTATATTACCCCTAATTGTTTTATGTTGTGTTAAGTTGAGTTGTCAGTGTTGAAAGACTCAAGGGTTTGAAGATCCCTTTAGAGCTTCAATGATATTGAGAGAGGGTTCTTTAGGCAGAGATCTAGTTTGACCTCGAAGGAAAGAGTATATAAGGTTTATATTTGAACATATGGTCTCTTAAACTCATTTCCCTCAACTTTTTAGAGAAAGGATTCTAGAGAGAAAGTCATTAGTTCATGAACTCCTTTTCTTTCAATCTTTTTCTCTTCTTCATACAATCATACATCTTTATAACAAGAACAACTTTGATAAAATGACAACTACATCAGTTTAAATAACTTAAACAATTCACAACTTTGCAACATGATCAACTTACTACATATTAAAACATATCATCATACAACATCACTTATACAACTTATTCATAGTCAATCAACTATAAAACAACTTTAAGAAATAACTTTTCATCCTACAACTCACACACCCGACGTCACTAACTGAGCACTTGGTGTTGCACCACTCATGCCTGCCATGATTGAGGCAAAAAATGTCCCACATTCACGTGCCTCGCGTGATAACACTCACGCCTAGCCCAATCAAGCAGAGAACTCTCTACTTGACTCACGCCCGATGCTACACACTTTGGCATCCAGCGTGAATCCAAATAGAGACAAGTCTCTCATCACATGCCTAATGTCGTTCAACCCACACCCAACATGATTCCAACCCGAAACGAGTCTCCCTTCTCACGTTCGATGCCATAGATCTTGCACTTGGTGTGAGTAAGACACAGATACCTCTCTTTGGAGTCACGTTCAACACCCTGAAGGCGCAACTAACACGGTATCAGGTTTTGCACTTGTTCAAAACCCAATTTTGCCCAAATCTCCTAAAAGTCAGAAAATCCCAACAACATGCAACACAATAAATAACATATATACAACATGTACAACACAATTCCATCATCAAAATAACATGCAACAAGAATCCATAAAGAATTAACTCAATCTCTCTCATGCACTACTTCAAAGCTATAAAATAACCCTCTCAACTTCATCATGTTCACCATCTAATCTTAACAATCCAAAATCAATTTATTTCAGCATTACAATCCCACAACATACATAAGAAATTAAAATCACAACTTCCTTTATCTCTAGAGAAAATCCGCAAAGAAGAGAAGAAGAAGCGACTTCCCACACCACTAGCTTGAAGTTCCAACTCTGGAGCTCAGATTCTTCACCACCTCTACTAGAATCAATTGAGAAAATAGTAGAAAAGGAATGGTTCAAGTGAGAAGGAAGAAGAGGAAAGGGAGAAGGAGGAGATAATCTCTCTCTAACTTCTCTTTATAGCTTTTGGAACTGAGTTATGAGTCTCTTGAAAAAAAAATTTATTTTATAGCTTCTTGAACCGCCTTTTCTTATCTATGATCCAGCCTTCTAGAGATTAACATAGTCTCAAGGTCTTTCAACCCCAAAGCTCTTAACAACGTCTGCTAAATTAAACAACAAGGTTATGAACTGATAGTGTTATACCTACGAAAGTAGATTAATCCCGCTAATAACTTAACTTTTTATAATATTAAAATATACATTATTAAGAATAAAAATAATATAATACATGGCATATATATATATATATATATAAAAATTAATTTAAGATTTGAAAATTTAGTGGGCTCACATATATAAATTGAAATGTTAACTATAACATTTATGGAAGGAAAAACCAAAAGAAAAAAAAAAGCAAAATAAAACTTATATAAAGTATGTAATTATTATCAAGCAAATCATATTTCATCATTAATTCCTTTACTAATAAATCATTTCATCATTATTAATTCCTTTACTAATAAATTAGTTCTTGTTAAACATAACATACATGTCACCGCGTGCATGTAATCAATTATATGTTCTCATTAACTCCTTTACTAATAAAATAATTCTGATTAAACAGAATACGCTAAGTAGAATAACATATATATCACGTGGACCATTAAAAAAACACATACGTATACCGTTCACGAATATTATATCCTCTATCTAGCTATAGCCATTGTCTATTTAAAGAAGAAACCCTACGGCAAGAAGCTGCATAAACAAAATGAAGGTACTTGTTTTCTTAGTTGCTATAATTGTAGGAGCATGCCAGTGCCATGGCTCAGACCATGAGCATGGTGCAACCTTCCAAATTTTCCCTCTCAGAATGAAAACTGGGTCCGGTGGCCACTACATTCCGGAAGTGTCATGTGCAAGTTGGAGGCTTGGTGTGGAAGCACATAATGTCATTGATTGGAAAACTGTGCCTATTTCCTGTGAAGGATACATAGGGAACTATATTCTTGGTGACCAATATAGATCAGATTCCAAAACAGTTAACCAACAAGCTTATTTTTATGCCAAAACCCTTAATATCACTTCCAGAGACGTGTGGGTCTTCGACATAGATGAGACCTCACTTTCTAATCTCCCATATTATGCTGAACATGGATTTGGGTACGTTCTGCTTTCCGTCTTTGCCATATTCCTATGTTCTTTTACTTTTATTTAAATAACATTTATTTATTTTAAAGATATATATATCAAATGAATATCTTTAAATATCAAATGAATTTTTTTTCTTATTATGAAAAATGAAAACTACAAATATATACTATAATATTAGATTATATTTGAATATTAATGACTAAAAAATACTCATAAGTTTTTAAAGTTTTCACATAGCAATCATAAAATTTAATTTTTCATGTATAATTATACGATTTATAATTATAACTCGTTAAATAAACCTTAATTTCTTAATTGCTGATTCGATATTGATTCAGAGATTAGTTAGGTGTGGAGTTAAAAAACCAAATATCTGACAACTTCGTTGATTTTGGGATGGAATGAAATGATTTGATTATTTTTTATCTAGCTCAACATTCTTTCCCTGTACACAGTTTATATGACTTTGTACATTAATTAAACTAAATGTTTTTAACGTATATAGCTGATTTAAAATGTCCAGATGAGCATTATTGAACTGTATGTATGTATGCGATCTCCTTTGACGGTGTTGTTGATAATTTTGAATTTGGTGATAGGGTGGAACCATACAACGCGACGGCGTTTAATCAATGGGTTGACCTTGGCACGGCACCAGCACTGCCTGAGACTCTGAAACTGTACAAGAAATTGTTATCTCTTGGAGTGAAGATTGTCTTCTTAACAGGAAGGCCACTCGATCAAACCACTGTCACTACTGCCAACTTAAAGCGTGCTGGATACCACACCTGGTTCAAGTTGATTCTCAAGTCAGTTTCTTTTTCTCTATAAAACTTTTTTTCATTCATATTATGGATCATTGTAAAACAAAATTAAAAAAATTATTACATATGGTACTGGTAGTTTATGGTAAGATGATTGATTAAACAGTTTTAGTATGAATTCTAGAATAGTTTGTCTAGATCAATAAAATTAGTATATTTCAATACAGAAAAGTTAGAATTATTAAGAAAAAAATAATGAAATGGGTTGATTGATTGAAGATCGTAAAAGATTTGAAAAATGAACTTTTGGAAAAGTAGACAAAATTGAGGATAAAAACTAAATAAAAGACGATGACGATAGGGAAAG